CAGAACTCTGTCTCTTAATGAGATAAAGTTGCATGCCTACATGGTGTATGTGATGAGAGACAACAATCCATAACCATGCATGACTGGGCGCAAAATACTGCTGCGTTTGGTGTATTTCGAAGACACTGACAGCTCCTCAACGATTTTCCCAATAACTAATTATAATTACACAGAATTCAGCAAATATACAGTATACGGAGTGCTGTCTAAGTCATACCCAAATAATGAAGCATGCCGTTGACATCGATGCAATATTCAGCGTCCGGAAGGAAAAAGCCATGAGCTGCACTCATATGAATCAAATTTCCTGCCACATCATCCGAGCAATGGTTACAAAACAAGCAAGTGGTTGCTGGAATGCCCTGTAAAACAAAGAATTTCATTACAGTGAAGTATCCTACTCCCACAACTTTCTTCTTTTTATAAGACAACATCGTGTGGGCACTCTTGCCCCATTACTTCTCCCCCTCCCCCCTCTCCCTCTTTCACTTTCTTCCCTTCCCCTCCCCCCTCCCCTTCTCCCCCCATTACCCTCTTTCTACTTATTATGGTGTTTTAACACTATGTTTAACTCCATGGATTTATATAGTTGTTTCTTTTGACATGCCCGTCGCATCTATCTTGCATTTTCAAGATCAAATTCTGCCTTTCCCAAGGCTACTTTTTGCAAATTTTTGACTCGATTTTTTGTTTTCTTCCCACAATAAGCAATTCCGATGCTTTTGTCTCCGATTATATCAAAGAGACGAGAGGGAATGACTCACGCCCTATCAATTGTCACAGCTCGTTGCTAAAATTACCCAGTTGTACCTGAGATTCATCAAAATCTTCGTCATCGGTGCCATGATCGGTAACCCATCCATCGCTACCACTGTCGACATTGTTATCACTGTCATCGTCACCATCACTGCTATCGCCTCCAACATCATCAATTCCAATCGGTCTTTTCCCATCCGACAACTGTCTTTTTGCTGCTGGTTGTTTCTTCACTGTCATCTGAAAAAAGAAAAAAAAAAAAACCCCATAAATTTGTAGAGGCATCAGCTCCATTTTTGTAAAAGGTGCCCTAATTTCAAAAATAAGTGCATATACTAAAAAAAAAGGCGGTGTTTACCTTAGCGCTTTTTTTAGAAGACCGTGCCTCATTGTCTTTGTGTTTCTTCGAACCCACATGGTTGTCATAAGCATTG